TGGAAGGTTGTTACATGTTCATTTGCATGCTGTTATGCAGTTGCCTCATATGAAAACATGTGAGGGTAGGTGGGAGTATCAAAGCTAGTGGCGAGAAAAGATTTTCACATATAGAGTGCAGTACAAGTGAGAAAAAGCTATTCTGTCAGAAGAGGTAAGAATCTATCAGAAATACATTTTAAATGTAGGAAAATGTTAACTTTCAGGATAGTGCTGGAAACAAAGGGGAGTTCTGTTTTTTATTTAAGGACCACTGAATATTTTTTGTTGGAATACTCCAATGGTTACCAAATAAATAAAAAATAGTAATATTTTTTATTAAACATACAAGAAAAACTAACTTCCAGTTCACTTGAAGACAAAAATACAAATCACTATGAAGAGAGAGTTTTCAATTGGTGGATCTTTTCTTTATCATGGGCAAACTGGGAATGATTAAGTAATATGAAGTGTAAGAAAAGGTGGAGTGATGTCATGCTACAACATAATGACAAACTGGAAGTATTTTCAAAGAGTAGTTTCAGGTGTGTCTCATTTATATTGTGATATAGAAGAAATGAGAATGTTAGATACAAAAAGGTCAGAAAAGTTTTGTTTAAAACAAATGTCAAGGGAAACTAAACAAGGTATTGATAAATAAAATAAAATATAAAAATCAATTAAAAAGAAATTGATCAGCAGATACAACTAAAAAGATAAACAAGTATGGAAAATTATCATAAATAAATAATAAGTATTAAAAAAGATTATGGGTAAAAACAGATAGTTATTATTTTCCTATACTGAAAATTTCCGATAGGTACTTACCTCTTCACACACATATGCAAAAAATGTATGTGCATGCCACAAGCCTTGACACTACCACCCATCTGGAATTAAGTATTCCAATTCGTCTGGCATGCAAATCATCATGCAATAACCCTCCACCAATAAGAGTGCAGCATACTCTCTTGACACATGCAACTCCATCTAATTAATTCCACCAAAATATCACTTCAAGCTTGGGCAGAAAATGGAAGCCCCAGTTTTCAGTGGGGAGGAATGGTGGGAAGTGTTATAAGAGGTAAGTATCAATCGGAAATACATTTTCAGTATAGGCAAATTATAACTCTCGATACAGTACATTACCTCTTCTCACATATATATAGCTAGAATCCCACACTGAACAGGTGGAGGGACTGGTGCGAGGGAAAGAAAGAAGCATCCTTCGATGGCGTCCAAAGGACACTCCCAAAGAGCTCTTCTGAGTCGAAGATCATACGTAGGAGACCGCACCAATTCTTTACCTGGTACTCTTTGCCCAGCGTGGAAAAAGGTGTTGCAGATATTGGTGGAAATAAGATGTAGCACATCCAATAGAGAGAGAGAACTGTGGTTGGATAGTGATCCAAATCACATTATACATCAATCTGAATCTCATAATACACAACTTGTGGGTGTGAGTAAAAGGATGTGGCTCCAGGTGTAGAGTGGATAGGGCATGACGGCAAGTCAACTACATCCAAAACCTAGGCATCTGGTAGGGGTAGGAAAAAAGATCATACCGTCTTCACTATTTATCTCAAGTTCATGAGACCAGATGGAATCTTGTACCCTCTGAACTATGAATGGGACACATGATATCAATGTGAAAAATTGATTGATCAATCCGGGAACCCAACATCCAGCACAGAAAAGATTTCTGTGCAATGTAAACCATCTCACTCAAAATCAAAACTACAGGAACCACCCCAAACATAGTAACATCCTTGGAATAATAAACACATTGAAGGACAATGGAAGGGGAAGTACCACAGTAATCTCCAAGTGCCTCCACTGTGACCCACAACAAGTATGGAGTAACAAGAGTATAAATGAGTGAAGGAAAAAGACATCTGTAATATATGTGTGAGGACTTACGTTGATTGGTTCAGCTCTAAATCCAAATCCCATCCACAGGGAAACCAACATTCACAAAGGGATCATAAGGGATCTCTATCAAAGGGGTGAACTGCTCACTCCAATGTTACATAGTGGAGGATATCTCATCACCTACAACAGCAGAATACCACCACCCTACTCTCAACTGAATTGTTTTACCAGCATTTATGTATATTTAGTATATATGTATATATGTATATTTATTTATATTTTGTTTTTCTTTAACACATTCAGGATGACACCCACACAGTCCACCACCACAGTAGCTAGCTTGGAACTGGAAAGTGGTAAGGACTCTCAAACTCCACTAGAAGAAAAGGAGGGAGAAAGTGTGGTGGAGATTCTGGAGGAATGACAACACCTGAGACAGTGTAATAGGTGACTATGAAACCATATTTTCAATAGCAGCTCATACCGATTTATTCAATACAAAGCATAGCAGGGATGGGCAGCTATTCCACTGCTTTACCCAGGAAGTCCATTGGTGAGTATGGTCTGGGATGGGCATGTTAACAAATTAAATATATCATGAAGATAAACCTACAAGCGATCTTCTGGGTCTCCCATCTCAGCAGTGTGCATTTAGTGATCTAAGTCTTCATGGCCTAACAGTGCAGCTTTTACTAGTTTATGTACACCTGGACAGGCGCCACTCACCACAGAGCAGGATCCATAATGAAAAAAAGAGGTATATATACTAAAAGGTAACTTACCAAGTCACAGTTTCATGAAAGATGGATGATGGTACCCTGATGAGGTAGAAACAGCTAACCAAAGTAGAGAATGGGAGATGAATGTATGAGGTGTAGTCCCAGTACTCAACAGCTGAAGTACCTCCAACGAAGAATAGGTTTGATATGCAGAGAAAATGGAAGGTGCATGATTGAAGTGAGAACACCAGAAAGTGATGATGGGAAGAAGAGTATAATGAATAAAGAGCCAATCAAATCACAATACAAATTTAATGGGGCAGGGAGGAAAGGTAAAAAATCAAAGACAAAACCCATGAAAACAATGAGGCAACCTAAAGCATGCACTTGACTAACAAGGTCATCTGGAACTGACTGAGAAGAAATGTGGAAAATGGTAAAAAATTTAAAAGTCAAAAGGAAGGTGAGTAATACTGAGAGCAGGTAGGGTAGATCCCAGCCACCAGGGGCCCACACACAAACAATATTAAGGTTAAGACGTATAAATTATAAATTAATGGGAAGAAATTTGGTAGTGAAAGAAACCTATGTAATACATGTTATGTATGTTGAAGAACAACAAAATAGTTTCCCAAACTAACGAGTAATCCGGAAGTAATACAACAAGTAAACCAAAATTAACAGACACTTGTGAAGCCCAAGCTAACAAGATATTTAACTTAATTAAGGATTAATCCACAAGTAGAGATACAGGTAAACTGAAAATAACAGACGTGTTAAGCCTAATCGAACAGTGCAGGACAAAGGATATCACTAAGCCCTAAAATCAAAATCTTAACCTAACAATAATTATAATAATAAGGAAAATGAAATAAAGAATAATTTATAGAATGAAATAAGTGCATATTAACAATAACCTATGTATGAGACATGATGTATGGAAGAAAACAATATAGTTAATATACCGGTAAGATGAATTACAGGTAATCCTAAAATCCTCCAATCAGAAACGTGTTTTAACCAACCAATCACAACACGCTCTCCACAATCCACTACAACACTATAAAGACCAAACTACACCACACACACACACACACTGACCTGATGACGAAAGGCAGAAGACTTTCGAAACGTCATCCTCTACAGTGTAGGTTTCTACAACAGGCAGTTATTGTCCATTTGAAACTTAGATTCATTATGAATACAGACAGTCACATGCGTCAAGAGTATGTTGCACTTTTATTGGTGGAAGTTTGTCGCATGATGATTTGCATACGAGATGCATTGGAATAGTCAATTCCAAATGGGTGGGAGCATCAAGACATGAGGCACACACACAAAATTTTTTTGCATATAGAGGGCAGCACTAAAGGAGAATAGCTATTTATGCAAGAGGAGGTAATGTACCGTATTAGAATTACACCACATATGAGAAAGAAAAAAAATTGTTATTTGTCAGACAAGGAATTTATTATTGGTCAAATATGACTGATTCAAGGTTCTAAGTTTACTCCACAAAGTTGGACAGTATACACTTGGGTATGACCCACATCTTAGGAGATAATACAAAAACCTAGCCAAGCGAGTTCAAGTTCTCTTGATTAACCACTGCTGTATGTATCTTTTAGTCTCCTTCAACTTCAGTTTTAACAACAATATCCTGTAAACAGAATGAACAACTTTGACTTTCATAATGTTTTGCACACCTCATGTCCTACCAACACAATTAACAAAAAAAAAATAATCTTTGTTGCATATTATGAAAATAACAAGCCTTTTACAAATTTGCACATTTTAAGCACACAGTATAACTGTAAAATGAATTTTATTAAATGCTCTAATATCATATTCATGTTTTTGAGAACTATGTGCCACATGAAAAAAACATTTCACCATTTTAACATTCTGACACCTGCTTGTGAGGTGGGGCAGACACACAGTGCCTGACACCAGCTTCTGTGGGAAAGTGAAAGTGTGTTTGCTGAGTGGTCTAAGAGAGCTTTGCCAGGAGAAATAGGGAATCACAAGCAGTCTGTGTTCTCTGACCCTCTGAGAGTTTGGCTAAGAAGGACACTTATTTTCAAGTATATGAAGAATATCTTGTTCTTTATATACATATGATGATGACAAAACCTTGTCAAAACATTGTACATTTGCTGTTGTGCTAAACTTATATTAAAGTTTTCTTCATTACCCATTCAAGCCGTCTCCAGCCATTATTAATCTCAAAGTGGGTTCCTCATCATCGAATTTGAAATACATATTCTTAGTTTTTGAAGTGTTAGGACTCAGCCCCAATTTCAGGTGCCAGAGTGGCACTTCACATTTAAATTAAGTACAATAGTTATAACTGAATACTTATTTCAATTTAAAAGAACAAAAGTTGTTTCATTGCAGCTAAGTAAAATACGTGTGCACATAATTACAAACCTCATCTTGATTTCTTTTACTGTTTCGGCAAAATGAGCAGAACCACCATCAAGAAGATCTGAAAGTAGCATTATATGTGTTATTAAAGCATTGTTCCTACACAGTTACTATCATTTTCTTTAACTGGTATATCTTGTTAAATCTGTTTTTATTTTGAGTGGAATCATCACATGACATATAAACTCAAGAATACCATGATCAAAAAAGTCAATATTATATATATATATCACTATTTCAAAATACTTCACTATTTATTACCATGGTAAAGTTTGATGTAGAAAAAATGTTGGCATTATTTTCTAAATGATGGATTACGCATTATGCAGCTGTAAATGAATATGAATTTTGGGTAGTTTTTCCCTATCAGTGTAGTGTTTGTTTGTTTGTATTTAAGCACAAAGCTACACAATGGGCTATCTGTGCTTTGCCCACCATGAGTATCGAAACCCGGATTCTAGCGTTGTAAGTCCGCAGACATACTGCTGTGCCACTGGGGGGCCAGTGTAGTGTAAGGTTACTGTTACAACAATGAAAGTTCAATTCCTTGTAGGCATTAATATATTTTTCTTTAACTGATATAATATTAGTTAAAAATTAAACTTATTAAAATACGACTTTTATGTCTTCCTATATTAATTACATGTTGCTACTTTGTTTTTACAAATACAAGTAATCACTGTTATTATTATTTTGTGAGCCTATAATCAAATTCAAAAAATCACAGCACATAAAAAACTTGCATTGTTATAAAGTATCAATACATATACAATTTCAAGTTTATTTCTTGAATTCTCTTTAATGACCTGTAGGTGTTATGGTATCTTATGGCTGACTGATTTACTTAACAGCAGTCAATTAGGGCCCACTAACTAGAGGCTCAAGGATACCAAGCTACTGAGCATGCTTTTTTATGAACCAACTTTGTCATGAAAAAAGTGACAAGAAACAAATGCATAAATCCAAACAAACTTTATCTAAAACAAAAAATTACAATACAAAATAATAGGAAAATTATTTTTCTCATTGATGAGTGAGAAACCATTCTCAAAAAACTCTTACCAGTTAAATGTAATCCCTCTTGTAATTTAAGAAAAATAAAATAAGCTAAAATCCAAATAAAAAACAGCCCCAACAAGTGAAAATAATGTAAAACATATAAGCAAATTCCTTAACCCGTAAGTTAAGCCAAACAAATTATGGCACTTTCCAAAGTCAGAGTCTGCTACAATCCAAAGTTAACACAGTCAAGGTCTATATCAAGATCCAAAAGTGAACTGAAGATGAATGTCAACACAAAAACAAAAGTTAAAGTAAACCTAATTCAACTGTGTAAAAGCTCTTAAAAACTCTCTACTTGGAGTCTATTATCTAAAATAAAAAGTCTGCCAAAATCTACTTACATTACTTTTTACTCAAAATCTAATGCAACTTAAGTTTAAAATTAGAAGTTTGCTAAAATCTAAAACCTAGAAGTCTGCAAAAATTCGAAGCTCCTGGGGTAAGTCTGGCCCTATACATGAAAAACAATAATAAACACAAAGACGAATTTGCACATAGCTCCTAGGGTCAACAAGTTGGTGTGTTTGTAGAATACTAGAAGCAATGAATGTGGCTACCCCTAACTATTATCTGATTTGCCAACAAGGAAGTTATAATTTTCCTTTACTGAAAATGTATTTCTGATAGATACTTACCTCTTCTCACAAAATTAGCTAGCTATTCCTGTTTGGTGCTACCGTCTATATGCTAACATTTTCTTTATGCTTGCCACAAGTCTTCTGCTCCCCCTATTGGAATTGTAATATTCCAATGTGTCTCTCATGCAAATCATCATGCATTATTTCTCCACTAATAAAAGCATGACATGCTCACATGATGCATGTGACTCCCTCTATCCTCATCTACATAACTATTACTTTGAAGTTCGGCAAAAAACTTAAGCACCGGAGGAAAGTTGGGTAGTGTGAAAGAAGTTAAGTACCTATCAGAAATACATTTTCAGTATAGGAAAATTATAACTTCTGATACGGTATTTCCCTCCACTCACAAAATTAGCTACAATCCCAAATTGAATGGGAGGAGGGTCTGGTGTGAGGGAATTATAGAAGTACCTCCCGAAAGTGTCCGAAGGATACCCCTGAAAGTGAGAAAATCCGATTAGAAGATCAGATGAGGGAAATTGCACCATTTCTGAACCAGGTATACTCTTTGCCCCTCTTTTAAATGTGGAGACGATAAGGGCAAAAAAGGTGAGAAGCACATCTAAGTGAGAAAGAACTTTGTCAGGAACATGAACCTAACTTAAATATAACTCAATCCCATGAATAGAAAAGTGGGTAAAACAATGAATGTGTCCTCAGGTGTAGAGTGGCTAGGTTCTACTCTAAATTCAAAACCCAGCTGCAGGGTACCGACATCCATGTGGGGGTAGGATGAGGGCTCCCAATCGAGGGAGTGAACTGCATTTTGATGTATCACTCCTTCATAATATATATCTCAAAGAGAAAGACAGTATGTCATCTACACCTGCAGAACACCATCACCTGCACTGAATGGTTATAGCCATCTTTGTTTGGAAAAAATTCAAAAGGGTGTCTCCATGGTTGACTACCCCAGGGGCTTGGAACTAGAAAGTGGTAAGGACTCCCATACTCCACTAGAAGAAAGGAGGGTGAAAAGGCAATGGACAGTCCGGAGGAAGGACAGTGCAATGGGTGACCACAAAACCCTATTTTGAAAAGTTGACTATACCGAGCTATTCACTACAAGCATGGCATGGATGGGCAACTATCAATTTCTGCTTTACCCATGAAGTCCATGGGTGGTACAGTCCAGGACATACATTTTTATGAAGCAAAATATCACAAGGTTATTCATCTACAAGTGATCTTGTGGAATAACTAATCTCAATGGGAGCATTGTGAAGCTATGGAACATAAAGTGTGAAACAACATGGCTGTACAGTGCAGATTTCAAAATAAATAATACCAGGCCTGGCACCACTCGCCAAAGAGTGGGATCCATATAATGAGGAATGAGGATAAGGGCCCCTGAAAGGAAAGAAAGTATGAATAGAAACTTATCAGTCAGAGTCACACCAAAGTCTGAAGAATGGCCACAGGTAAAAGATGAAAACCCGATGAAGAAGAAACCACGATATAATATAGATAATGGGAGATGAACATATTGGGTGTGGTTCACATGCCTGATTGTAGAACATCCTTCAATGGATAATGAAGATGAGAAACAAGGGAAAATGTGAGGTGTTTAATCTGATAAAAAGACACCTGGAACAAATTCCGAGAGGAAGAAGGTAAGGAAGAAGCCAATCAGGTCAAATGCTGGACCCAATTGGTAAGCATTGAAGGTGAAAGATCACGAAAGAAAGAAGACTATCAGGGGATAAAGAGTTGGTAACAGGTACCATGGAAGAAAGCCATATTGGCAATATAACAACAAAGAGCCCTGATGGGACCTAGAAGCCGATCTGGATCCGGTTGAGGGTAAATATGAGAAATGGAAGAAATGGAAATAGGCAAAAAGGAAGAGCTACCCAACTGAGCTGCTGGGGTTTTTGGGAGGAAGGAGTGATCCAGATAAAGGAGAAGATAAGTAGGGTGATAAAGTGTGTGTGAAACATCAATGGCAAACAAATCTGACTGTTGATGTCCACAGGTTAAAAGAAGAAGAAAATATGTTTTGAGGGAAAGATGAATCTTGGAACACGAGGATAGTGGTTCAAATGGAGGTAAAGCGAGGAGACTAAGGACCCTCAGTCAAAATGGGCCAAGTGAGACATTCTGCCACCCAAGCCACAGTAGGCTGGTCGGTGGGAAATCCTTGAGTTGTAGACCAACTGCGGAACACCTTCATGTCACCTTCTACTTGTGCTGATACACCTCCATGGAAGGACATATGGAATCAGCTAAAAAGAAAGTGACATGATGAAATAAACCGGATCTCCCTTCCAAGGACTGGATAAAAGCCAGGCATGAAGATGCAGGATGTAAAGGGTGGGACAAGCTACCGAAGTTGACGAAGAAAGGTAGGGAGATGATGGAAGAGGCACAAGAGGGGAAATTAGCAGGTGCTGTAACCATGGAAGTCATGGCTGAGCTGGCCAATAAGGGGAACTCGGAAGGACCAAACAAGGAGTGGTATGGATGAGAGAGATCACCCAACCACCAAAGCAGATAGTCTTGCAAGGTAAGAGGAAGTGTAATGGGAGTAGAAAGAAGATCATATGCAAGGTTCCACTGATCGTGAAGAGCCCACTGAAGGGATCTCATATGGGCACAACTGAGAGGGACCAGTGATGTCACTGATGACCATATCCCTAAAAGTGATAGAACCTCATGAGCAGTAAGTGAATGAACCAAGAGGGTGTGGTGAACTAACAATTCCTTAGAATGAAGTCTTTTTAAGAAGAAGGTTGGTGATACAAGTGTCTAAAAGGATCCCCAACTGGAAGAGATATTGAGTAGGTCTGAGGAAGGACTTCTCCAGTTTGATTAACCAACCCACTTGAGCAGCCATTAAAAACAGCTGCCAAGTATGGCTGGCTGACTCCAGTTCAGAAGGAGCCAAAAAAAAAAAGCCAATCATCCATGTAATAGTGAAAACACAACCCAGACCATGAAGATGTCGAGCAAATGCCCAGACCACCCGGCAGTAAACATAAGCAGCTGAAGCAAGCCTGAATGGTTGTGCTCTAAATTGATAAACCACCCCGAGATAGACAAACCAAAGATAAGGATGAGACCGAGGTGATATAGGTATATGGAGATGTGTTGGTGACATCCATTTTGGTCATCGTGTCAAAAACATATCACTACAGAAATGGACCATATGTAGATTCCAAAGGTGAAGTTGGTTGTTATCGCTACTTAAATATTAACTCTTTCCACATAGGGTTGGTTAATGTGACCGACCTTGTAACCACAAAGTAACCATAATTACCATACTATAACTTTTAATATGCTTTTCTATCCTTATAAAATTTTGCAAGCTTTCAATGAACATTAGAAGTCTTTTGTACACAAAAAATCAGATTTTTGTTTTTTAAAAATTA